TGTGTAGTGAATGTGGGGGTCAGCTTCACTACTAATTAATTATTCTTAAAGCTAGTTCAAGCACAAAGAATATTAATTATTTAAATACAATTGATTCTTTCTTTTTCGAGTTAAATTAATGCCATGTGACCAAGATAACTGTGAGGATTGTTTAATCAGTGACATGAGACGCCATTTTTCTTTGACCCATCAGAATAAATGCGGTCATTTATTTAATAGAATCTAAATTTAACATCAAAACATGTACACATTGATTTGCTGATCTGGTTCTGATTAATAAAAACTTGGCATGCTTTACTAACAAGACAACAGAACATTTCTGAAGGTATCTAGATTGTTTTACTGGCGAAGAGATTTACAAGAGGAGAGATTTAGAGTTTTAAAGAGGAGGATTTAGATGGATGAAGGAAGATGTATGTTTTGTTGACCAGAATTAGCACGCTTCTTTCAACACCAGCTCAAACCCCGGGTACACTCGGTGCGTGACGACTCGTTACCTTTGCAGAAGATAAATCAGCTCCGGTACCAGAGGTCCATTTCAATGCTACCTTTCAGCGTCTCCGGTCAGGGTGGCTGAGAATCATCAGAAGTCGTGTGGTTTACTCCGTTAAACAGAACCGGCTTCCTTCAAAGTTGTAGGACGTTACGCCCGGGTGAGTTCACAGCGAGGCGCTGTGACTCCGCTGGGATGGACGGACCCTCGTCTCACGGTCAAATCCATCAGCTATTGATTAAATCTGAAAGTTCCTTAGGAACTCTCAGGAAGACTCCATAGTCCCGAGAAAGACTTAGGAAAACTCCAGTCAAAGACTGAAGAAGACTGAGACTCGAGAAGACTCGAGAAGACTCTGAAGAAGACTCCAGGAAGACTGAATAGTTCCAGGAAGTGTTGACTTTTAAAGAGTCCTCACTTACGGTCACTTGGTACTTCCTGATTGGTTGAAACAACCAACAGGGAGTGGTTCTAGTGATGTCAGAGGGTTATTAAAAGTCAAGAGAGGATGCAGGAATGTTTAGGAACGATTAGTACAGACAGAGAAATGTTTTGAAGAAGTGAGAGGAAGCAGGTGCCAGTTGCTTCTTTTTTACCGTCTGCTAGGTTTAAAAACAAGACACTTCATTCTAATAACTTGTCTCTGTCCGTCTCTGACTTTCGACCGACATCACTACTCCTCATTCAGACAGAAGATCAAAATGCATAATTACTTTGTAAATAGACATTTAACTTGATTTCTAATTTCTAATGAGGTTTAAAAATCATTAATACTGTTTCACAGTTGATTTAAAATGAGTGGTTCACTTCAACATTTAGAAATGGTATGAACTAAACACACTTTGATTATCAAAAAGAAGAGTGTTCTTTCAATTGATTAATTCAGGATACAATTAAACAGTCTCTTGATGAGCTAATTTGTATTTCTGGATTCAAATCAATGAAATAACAGTTCCTGCCCCATGAAGGTCTTCAGAGACAGGTTGTGGTCGGAGGCCTAGTTCACTACTATTGTTTGAATTGAATAAAAAGGCACAAAGGGAATGAGCAAGTCAAAGAGAGTTGGAGAAAGGACGGCTCTGGCTACTCTTCCCTTTGCAAAGAAAAATCTCTATTTGTTATTTGTTTAAACCTAACAAAACTTGGTTGCCGTGACCTGGATTCCAACGTACTCAGACGCTGACAGGAGGAGGAACGCACCAAATCCCGTTGACGGCCATACTCGTCTAGGATGATCTGAATCAAAGCCCCGGTGAGCGACGTTCTTCACCGGGCCGGTGAAAATAGGAGTCTCCTCCACCTGCCAACACTGAATTGACGGAATCCGGATCCAGACGAACTGGCACACAATAGAGTGAGTAGGAATGTGCGATATGGCATAAAATTTATATCACGATATGTATTGTGAAGGGTGGCGATAACAATATATATCACGGTATGTTTTTGGTATAAAACTTGCTAAAAGAAAGCATAGGGTGTTCTTTTGCCATCATATATTTTGAATTAAGAAACTTCCACTACTAGGTCCAGAGAATTTTTAAATAATAAATCAAGTATCAGGCGTCTTTCTTGTAGTGCAAAACAGTGCAAAAGATATCAATGTAGTTTTAGCCATATGTTTTAAACAAAATAATATGTTGTTAACTCTTAACAGTTTCCAGTCTTACTTAAGCAATGAACAGCAACAGAGCAGCATTTTACACTGAAACACTTCACCCTTCAACCCTCTAGTGGGTGACTCCTTCCGCTTTAATGGAGAGCTGACACAAAATGAGTCTGTGGCTTTGACCAGAGGGGCTCGCAGTAAAATCACACAACACAGCGTTCTTTTCACAGATCAGAGAGCAGGTTTCTCTAAAGCTGACCAACGCTTACTTTAACTTTCGATGGGAAAAAAAACCCTTTCAATGGAACACAGTGTTTTGCGCATGTGTCCAAATACGACAACACTACGGCAAGCCGGGCGTAGGTAGCTTGTAGCTTCGCTACTTAGCCCGTGAAGAAAATACTTTAACGCCACTTGCGCAAAGTTTTCAGCTCAAAAAAAGTAACGATTAAATCTGACAGCTCTGATTTTACACTTGAACACCACTTACACACAGTTTTCAACAAAAAAAAGTAACGATTAAACTGACAACTGTACAACTATGATTTTACTTCAGACACAGCATTACTGCGGTTAGCCGGTAGAAGACAGATCTCTATCGTAGGCTAAATTTCTATCGTTTCTACCGTGTACCGTATATATCGCGCATTCCTAAGAGTGAGTATTGTTTTTTTGTGAAAATTTTGTGAAATTGTGATGCTGAAGGACCACAGAGTAGAGAAATAAGCATAGCATGATGATGCTGAAATGATCCTTTGAGAAATTGTGGCGCTGAAGGACCACAGAGTAGAGAAATAAGCATAGCATGATCATGCTGAAATGATCCTTTGAGAATAAGTGGCGCTGAAGGACCACAGAGTAGAATAACCTAGGAAGTTAAGATTGTGTCTATATATATATGTGTGTGTGTGTGTGTGTGTGTGTGTGTGTGTGTGTGTGTGTGTGTGTGTGAGTGAAAGTTGAGATATGAATACCACGTATATGTTCTGAAGCAGCAGCGCAAGCGGAAACCTTGTGGTGTCAACAAAAATCTTGCGGTCTATTGAAGTAAGACATATACCTCTGGATTAAGGGACATTTAAATTGTCATAAATGTGTGTGTGTGGGGGGGGGGGCGGGGGCAGTAAGACCCCTGAGGGGGCAGTAGGGGATGGAAAATTAATGGAAACGATGAATAAAAATAATGTTAAATATTTAAATAAATGGGAAAAACGATACGGGTTTCTGGGCAAATTAACTATCGTAGCATGCCAAAACTTAGTTGAAAAAACAGAAACGGCTGCAGCATGTAGAAAGGGAAGAAAAAAAAAGAGAACAAAGAAGAAGAGCTAAAAATAGCACATAGATGGCTTGAAAAAGCACACAAGAGGAGACAAGGGGAAACAAAAAGCAAGTTAACAATATATGTACGACAGGAAAACAATGAAAGTGTTGTAAAAGGTAAAAAACAAGCAGGGAGATCCCAACCCCATGAACAAAATCCAGCGGAAGCACAACCAACTCCCCAACAAACACAACCGATATATCCAGATTTAACTCAACTCAAAACATCTATGAAATTGAGAGAGAGAGATAACTTAAAACCCCCAGGCTGCTACAATAGTCCAGATGCTTCTGGAGATGAAACATATCCAATGATTGTAGTACCTAACCCAAACAATGATGACGGGACACGTCCACATATGTACGTGTTCCGGCCATGGACCCTAGAGGAAGCTAGAAAAGCCACAGAAGGCATGCCGAATCCACAAGAGGATGTTCAAGCATTTGAAACAGCCCTAATGGATCTGATAAACTCATACAGACTAAACGGTGTAGAAATGGGAGAAGCTGTGCAGTGCTCCCTGGGGAGATTTTGGGGAAGGGTAAGAGGAAATTACACAGGAAGAAATGTTGACCAACAGCCACACCCATATCCAGACAATGGTGACTTGCGAGGAGTGTTTGGAGGACAATTAGACCAACTAATGGGTCGGATCAGAACAGAAATTAGAAGAACCACGGATTACACCAAACTCAATGCAGTAAAACAAAACCCAGATGAAGAAGTAGATGATTATCTCATCAGGTTTGAAAAAAAATTCAGGGTCCACAGTGGCATTCCATTAGATAACCAACCAGAGAGCCCATACCAACAATAGCTTAAATTAGCTTTATGAATGGTGTCAAGTCTTTTCTTCAACCAGTGCTGATCTGACTTGAAAGATCCAGGAAGAAGGTAGACGTAGGCTCAACTCATTTCATCATCTTTATTAATTATTCTCAAAGATGGTTCTGCAGCAGTAGCAGCAGCATCAGTCAGAATCAGTAGAATCAACAGGTCGAAAACCTTGGAGAAAATGCAGATTAACAGTTTAGTTTTAAATGTTTTTCAATTTGCTTAAACCATATAAATTCATAAAATGTTTTAAATTGTGTAGATATATATTCTGACAAACTAGGAAGTAACCATTTTAAAGCATTTAGCCATTTATTATATTTATTAATTTTGAATATTTTTTGGAAAATTCTAAATCTTCCAATAAATGTTACTGTAATCTCCTATTTTCATTTCTTATTTTAATTTTAGTAATTTAAAGAGAGAAATAAAAATAATATTTGACTTGCACGATTCATTCCTAAGATTACAAAATAATTACTTTCATCAAACTCATAATATAGAAAGACTAAATGTTTTAATCTAGACTAGATGTATGATCTAACTCTGAGTCTCAAAACAGCATTAGGTCAACTCAAAACTCACAGAAACTTACAATGGTACTAAACAAACACAGAGGGCCTATGTGCTTAAAAAAAAAACCTCTAATTGCTCTAACATCATCACAAACTACTGTGTTGTTTACCACAAGTTTACTTCTAGACTCAAAACTGTTTGATAGGTTTATTGAGGCTGCTACTCACCGGTGCGTGTCTACTTCCCTTCATGCACTGATTGTCACAAAGAACCAAACACCTGCATTAAGAAACTAATCAGGATCACAGCAGCTACAGCATAGTTTAGGCTAGAGCTCCCCCTCTGTCTGAACTATGTAAACAACAGAAACTAAAGTTTGAATGAAAAAATGTGTTAAAATGAGGTGCAATTCAAAAGTCAAACCTGTCATTTGACACAACAAATGGGCTGCGTGGGTAAAGGAACACCATGTAAAACTTGATACTGCCCCCTTACCACAGACCATGACTTGGGTAAGACACGCATGGAAAATAATACAACAAAAGAAAAAGACAAAAGGTCGACTGGTACATTTTGGACTGATGACCCCTGTGACAGTGATGTCTTTTATGTACAAACCGGATTCCAAAAAAGTTGGGACACTAAACAAATTGTGAATAAAAACTGAATGCAATGATGTGGAGGTGCCAACATCTAATATTTTATTCAGAATAGAACACAAATCACAGATCAAAAGTTTAAACTGAGAGAATGTATCATTTTAAGGGAAAAATCTGTTGTTTCCAAATTTCATGGCGTCAAC